CAAACTTTAAAGGGTGAACAGGGTGACAGAAAATATAATTTATGGGATGTGATTCGTGACAATTAAATCTGCTCTTATGCTGAACATATCCTATTTTACACTAAGTCAAGCACCCAGTGGTCTTCACTGAGGAAATGCATTCACTCAAACATTTGTCTGTGTTTCAGATAATTTATTTGAGTGTTTGAAGTCACTATTAACTCAAAAGCTCTTGAGAAAACACAACCTTGTCACATTTTTGTGTTGTAAGTTTGAAAATATCTTTTCAAAGAGTAATTGAAATGTAAAGCTAAAAAGTACATCACTTCTCCAGCTCAACGTAGAAGAACTCAAGCTGCTTCATTGTACTTTAAAGAAATGCAGTAACTTTTTTATACTCATTTTTGCTTTGCTATTACCGATAATTTTGAATCAGAAGTTACATATTTCATGTAACTTGAGAAAAAAAATTGTTCTCCTGAAAATTTGTCTTGTGTTTTACAAACCGGATTCCAAAAATGTTGGGACACTAAACAAATTGTGAATAAAAACTGAATACAATGATGTGGAGGTGCCAACATCTAATATTTTATTCAGAATAGAACACAAATCACAGATCAAAAGTTTAAACTGAGAGAATGTATCATTTAAAGGGAAGAATCTGTTGTTTCCAAATTTCATGGTGTCAACAAATCCCAAAAAAGTTGGGACAAGTCCATTTTTACCACTGTGTAGCATCCCCCCTTCTTCTTACAACTCTCAACAGACATCTGGGGACAGAGGAGACCAGTTTCTCAAGTTTAGAAATAGGAATGCTCTCCCATTCATGTCTAATACAGGCCTCTAACTGTTCAATCGTCTTGGGCCTTCTTTGTCACACCTTCCTCTTTATGATGCGCCAAATGTTCTCTATAGGTGAAAGATCTGGACTGCAGGCTGGCCATTTCAGTACCCGGATCCTTCTCCTATGTAGCATGATGTTGTGATTGCTGCAGAATGTGGTCTGGCATTATCATGTTGAAAAATGCAGGGTCTTCCCTGAAAGAGATGACGTCTAGATGGGAGCATATGTTGTTCTAGAACCTGAACATAGTTCTCTGCATTAATGGTGCCTTTCCAGACATGCAAGCTGCCCATGCCACAAGCGCTCATGCAACTCCATACCATCAGTTATGCAGGCTTTTGAACGGAGCGTTGATGACTACTTGGGCTATCCTTGTTCTCTCTGGTCCGGATGACATGGCGTCCCAGTGTTCCATAAAGAACTTTAAACCGTGACTCATCTGACCACAGAACAGTCTTCCATTTTGCCACACTCCTTTTTAAATGACCCCTGGCCCAGTGCAAACGTCTGAGCTTGTGGAGCTTGCTTAGAAATGGCTTCCTCTTTGCACTGTAGAGTTTCAGCTGGCAACGGCGGATGACACGGTGGATTGTGTTCATTGACAATGCTTTCTGGAAGTATTCCTGAGCCCATTCTGTTATTTCCTTGACAGTGGCATTCCTGTTTGAGGTGCAGTGACGTTTAAGGGCCCGGAGATCACGAGCATCCAGTAGAGTTTTACGGCCTTGACCCTTACGCACAGCGATTGTTCCAAATTCTCTGAATCTTTTGATGATGTTATGCACGGTTGATGATGATAACTTAAAAGTCTTTGCTATTTTACGCTGGGTAACACCATTCTGGTATTGCTGCACTATCTTTCTACGCAACAATGGTGGAATTGGTGATCCTCTTACCATCTTGGCTTCTGAGCGACACTGACACTCTGAGAAGCTCTTTTTATACCCAATCATGTTGTTAATCGACCTAATTAGTGTTAATTGGTCTTCCAGCTGTTCGTTATTTGCTCAATTTCCTTTTTCCAGCCACTTATTGCTACTTGTCCCAACTTTTTTGGGATTTGTTGACACTGTGAAATTTTGAATCAACATATTTTTCCTTTAAAATGTTACATTTACTCAGATTAAACTTTTGATCTGTCATCTATGTTATATTACGAATAAAATATTGACATTTTCCGTCTCCACATCATTACATTCAGTTTTTATTCACAATTTGTTTAGTGTCCCAACGTTTTTGGAATCCGGTTTGTAGACGTAACTAAAACATATGACATGTCAGAATTGCTCTGCTAATTTCAGCTCATATCACTATTAAAACATATTAATATGTCAGTGAAGACTGCTGTGTAAGGAGCTGAAAAGTGATTGAGACATTACAAATGAGACAAGCTGGTCTGGGGAGCTCAGTCCTCACCTCCTTCTACAGGTGTGCAGTGGAGAGCATCCTGTGCTCCAGCATCAATGTGTGGCATGGAGGCTGCACAGCTGCAGAAAGAAAAGCTTTGCAGAGAGTGGTGAAGGCTGCACAGAAGTCTGTTGGAGTCAGTCTCCCCACCATCACAGACATCTACACCTCCAGATGCAGCAAGAGGGCCACCTGCATCATGAAGGACCCCACTCACCCAGCACACACACTTTTTGCCCCGCTCCCCTCAGGAAGGAGGTTGAGGAGCATTAAGTGTAGAACCAATAGACTGAGGAACAGCTTCTACCCTGAGGCTGTTAGACTTATGAATCTCTAACCAGAATAATTACTGTTATTTAAAAATCACTGTAATGCCACTTTGATTGGTGATGTGCTGCTGATCTCATGCTGCTGATTGTTTCATGCTGCTGTGTTCATTCGTACTCATCTGCTCACAAAGACTCATGTTCGTGCTGCTGTTGTTTGCACTAAGTGTTTAGCACATTTTTTAGTTTATATATTCGATCCTTATTTACTGTTTCTTTTTACAATTTATATTTTTGCTATTGTTGGATGTAACTGGGACCCTGTGTGCACAATTTCATTCCACCTCATGTACCACCTGTTGTGAAATGACAACAAACCTACTTGAACAAATCAAAACCTTCCACAAGACAGACTAAGACTATATTCCTTTGTAAATTCAATACTGATTGTTTGTTTACATATCTAAAATCACTAATATAACTTCTCCATGTTTCTTGTTCGCTTTTTCTTCCAGCCTGATCGACCAGATGCTTCAGAGGGACCCCAAGCGCCGAGCTTCTTTAGAGCTGATTGAAAGCCACGCATGGCTACAAGGAGTGGATCCATCACCTGCCACCAAGTACAACACCCCTCTGGTCTCTCACAAGCATCTGTCTGAAGAGGAGCACAACAGCATCATTCAGCGCATGGTGCTGGGAGACATCGCTGACCGAGAGGCTATAATTGAGTAAGTTTGAATCCAGGAAAGCTCATAAAGTCAAACTGCACACTGTGTTTTAATCCATCAGCATAAAATGTGAACATCTCCCCTCTGGGTGGTGATCTTCCCTGCAAGCGATTGACCAACTGATGAGCAGAATTTATGATGTGATTATCCTTTCACTTGTTTTTTCCCCCAATTTTATCTGATTTCTTTGCTCCTCCCATGCTGTGCATTTACACATGCTTTACAAGATGTTATGTACAACTGTGTTACTCTGTGCCTTATTATCAAATTAGCAGGGCTTAAAGCGCTCCGGCCAGGGGCCAGATTTCAGGCTGGGGGCCGGATTTCCGGCTTGGAGACAGCCCGCCAGTCCACCTCAACTTAACTTTGGTTGATTGACAGGGATTACATCCAATCACACTGAAGCTCGCATTGTCTTGACCAATTACTAACAGGAAGGCGAGTCTTAGAAAAGCAAGCACGTGTGTATGCGGCTTGGCAGTCATATCAATGCAGAAGATGGAGTTTGTCACACCGGGATAAAATATAGTTTTACTGTAGAAACAAGTGGCGCTTTGCCTTCTCCATAACAGGAGGTGATTTCACCTCCTACTCGAGTGTACGGCGCCTCCTACTCTGACTGATGACTTGTCCCCTTTGGAGCGAATCGAAGCGCAGGCAAATGACCAATTTCAGCCTCTAGCAGGAAAGACACAGCATCTCAGCGTCTTCATTTAAATTTGTGTCAAAACTACAGATTTTAAACCAACATTTTTCAGTCAGGTCATCATGACAGTTTCTTTTTTGTGTTGAAACGTTTCACCTTCGATCCGGAAGGCTTTATCAGTCAAGGAAACACACAACACAAAACTGATTCTTCCCCTTTCAACCAGTTTGACACGACTGTCAACAAGGAAGAGAGCCAGCAATGGAGAAGGGGGCATGACAAAGAGACCAAAGTGGAACAAACCAGTTATGTTGGTGCTAAGATGGAGTAAGCTGTTGGAGGAAGAATCAGTTTTGTGTTGTGTGTTTCCTTGACTGATGAAGCCTTCCAGATCGAAGGTGAAACGTTTCAGCACAATAAAAGAAACTGTCCAAATGACCTGACTGAAAAATGTTGGATTGTACAGGTCCTTCTCAAAAATTAGCATATTGTGATAAAGGTCATTATTTTCCGTAATGTAATGATAAAAATGAAACTTTCATATATT